GCCGTCATTGTTGTTTGGCGGGTCCGGGCTGGGGATTCGAACCCGCCACCTTAGGTGTACGTGGCTGGCGCCTTAGCCGGTTGAGCTATAAGCGCCGAGCCAGTTTTATTCTTAAGAGCAAAAACTGGGCTCTTTTACCAAGGACCCGCCAATATGGGCTGTGTTCACACCAAAACCATAAAGAAGGCGGCCTGGGTCATCATTGAGAAGTACTACATGCATCTGGGCAACGACTTTCACATGAACAAGCGTTGTGTGCAAGGAGATGGTCATCATTCCCAGCAAGAAGCTCTATGAGATAGCAGGCTACATCGCACTCCTGATGAAATGGATCCAGAGGGGCTTGGGGAGAGGCACAGTCATCATGCTGCAGGAGGAGGGAGAGGAGAGACAACTGTGTCCCTAAGGTCTCAGCCCTGGATCAGATCACTAAAGTAGATCCTGACACTAAGGAAATGCTGAAGCTTTCAGACTTTGGCAGTCTGTCCAACCTCCAGGTCACTCAGCCTGCAATTAGGATGAGTTTCAAAACACCACATGGAATTCTTTGAATCTATCTTCTGTGTGCTGTAACATTTTAATTAATCTGGGACAACAGCAAAAAAACAAAAACAAAAAGTAAAAACTGCAAACTCAAATTTCTATCAACACGGGGTGAATAAACAAATGTTCAACAACACTGGTCAGCAGAGGACTGCCGGACTGGCAAGTCTAAGCACACGAGTGAATGAAGCAGGACACAAGTCCATACTGGGCCGTCCCTGTACATAAAGCTCTGCAACAAGCAAAACTCGCCTGCACCTACGACTGGAAGGGCAGTAACTATGCCAAGGTCAAAGGGGACTTTCAGGTGACAGAAATGTTATTTTTCCTGATTGTGGTGGTGGTAACTACAAAGGTGTATGGATTCCTTACAACTTTGGCACTTAAAATAGGTGTTCTATTATATGGAAACTGAACCTCAATGGTGTTGGTCTAATACTTCTATACCATTTAAAACAACTCTAGTTATGGAGAGTTTTGCAAAAATCAAGTACTAGATGTCCCTTTTAATTATCTGTCCCCTCAAGGGTTCTAGGGCTGCTATAATTTGAAAAATCAAAATATGCCTGAAAGGGCAAAAAATTGTTTTATATCACTTTAAAACTGGTTGCTTGGGTGTGTTCAGATCAAACTCAGGGGCCTTTTTGCTGGGTGGTCACCCACTGTGCACAAAACCTCCTGCTGCTGAACATCTGCCAAAGAGCAGGCATCCTGGTGCTCCTCAGCACTGCAGCCCTCTCAGGGGAAGTTTTCTTTAACTAGTACATGTCCACCTGTCTTGCCTGCCCAGCTGAAAGTCACCTGTGCTGGGTTAACTTCTCCAGAGCTACTGTGCCCAGTCACTCCCTCCCTCCCTATGCTGTACAGTGGGTGATGGCAACCTCCTCACCACACGGTGCACAACTTCAGGGTGGATAGTGTCCTCTTCTGGTTCTCCCAACATTCAGGACTGTTCCTTACAAGTATCGATCCATTTACAAATAAATGACATCAAAAGCTGGAGAGCATGGACAATGACAATGGTTGAACTTAGTCCTGGAACTGCTGAGACAGGAGTTATGTGAGGCCTTGGACTGTGCTCCTGACTCAGTCAGGGAGGCACACAGCACCTGAGTGATGCCAGTGCCCTCTCAGTGAAGCAGTGAGCAGGCAGGGGTTGGACCATGGGGGCAGAAAACATTCACGGGCCTGAGAGAGAGAAGACTGCCCAGAGAATACATTGGACTGATACAAAACAAAAATACAACAACCCCCCCCCCCCGAATTTAAGAATAGCAGTATAGAAAGGACAAAGTGAGAGAGATGCCAGTTACACAAAGATTGTAGGGTGTGTTTTTATTGTTTCATGCTAGCTACTGGGGACACACAGATCAACCAGGAATGGACAGTAGTCACTGTCCTCAGGAACTAAGAGTATAATGAAAGAGATGGCACATAAAATTGTGACTGCATGTACCAAAATATGCACAGCACAGAGGGGCACAGAGCAGAAGCCAGGACAGGGGCTCCCAACCATGCCTCAGGGCAATGGCCCTGACACAATGCTTCAGTGAGTCTTGAACATGATTAGGGTTGATCAGCTGAGGAGGAGCCTTCAACCCAGAGCAAAGAAGGGAGGGGAGGTAGGAAACAGCTTGGTGTAGGGGGAAGTATGAAGCAGTTGGCGCTGCTGGGGTACCCAGGGACCACGGAATGCAAGGTGTTAGCAGGCATGATGGGGACACTGGGAGGCTGGAGTTCGTCCTCAGGACAACACAGAACCAGTTCGTCATGGTTTTGCTTAATTTTTTTTCCATCTTGATTTTTTGGTGATCAAAATTGCTAGGTAACACTCTTCTAAATAAGATTAGAGACACAGTTCTGCTTTAAAAGGGATTTAACTCAAAAATGGATTGTATCTAAGAATAAAATATATATATCTGAGACTTATCCCCTCTTGCCCCTGCTATTTCAGCTCAAAGTCAGCTGTAAAGCCCCATGGCTCTCCAGAGGACAAGATTCACCACTGAGGAAGCAGGCCCACTCCAGGAACCCACAAAGTGGCAGGTGGGAGCAGAGCCCTATGCAGCCTTGTCTGTGCTGCACAGAATTCTGATGTGTCTGAATCTTTGAAGCCATGTAAATCCAAATTCCACTCTTTTCCAAACATCGCTCATTGAGTGGAAGAGTAATTATTTTGTAATTTGTCTGTATGTTCCCCCTGACCGACAGGTCTCTCACCCAAATGTATGGGGGCCTTATTCAAGGCAAGTCCCTCTGGGTGAACACCTTCATTATTCTTAGAGTCTGGGGTTGAGTTAAAGTTTTCCCCATGCTGACTGCATTCATAGAGCTTCTCTTCAGTATGAATTTTCTGGTGTTGCAGGAAGTTAGACCTCTGAATAAAGCCTTTCCCGCAATAGCTACACACATAGGGCTTTTCTCCAGTGTGAACGATCTGGTGGAGCAGCAGCTTGGAGCTCTGAATGAAAGCTTTCCCACAGTCTTTACACTCAAAGGGCCTGTCCCCTGTGTGGATTTTCTGATGTTCAGTGAGATGGGCTTTCTGGAGAAAAGCTTTCCCACATTCCTTACATTCATACACCCTCTCTCCAGTGTGAATTTTCTGGTGTCGAATGAGGTATGAACTCAGAAAGAACGCTTTCCCACATTCGTTACATTCATAGAGTTTCTCACCAGTATGAATCCTCTGATGCTGAGTAAAGTTTGATGTCTGGCTAAAACGCTTTCCACACTCATTGCACACGTAAGGCCTTTCTCCAGTGTGAATTCTCTGATGCTGAATGAGCTTTGAACTCCGAATAAAGGCTTTCCCACATTCATTGCATTCAAAGGGCCTCTCCCCAGTGTGAATTCTCTGGTGTTCAATAAGGTCTGAGCGGTGACGAAAGGCCTTTCCACACTCTTTGCATTCATACTGTTTCACTTCTGTGTGGATCTGATAATGTCGAATAAGGCTTGAGCTCCTGATGAAGGATTTCCCACATTCATTACACTCATAGGGCCTCTCTCCAGTGTGTATTCTCTGGTGTCGTATCAGCAAGGAGCTCTGACTGAAGCCTTTTCCACACTCTTTGCACTCAAAGGGCCTCTCTCTGGTGTGCACCCGCTGGTGTCGGATTAGGTCTGAGCTGTGACAAAAGGCTTTCCCACACTGTGAGCACCTGAACGGCTTCTCTCCCGCATGCACCTGCTGATGCTCAAGAAGACGTGGGTAGTGAGTGAAGTCTTTCCCACACGCATTACACACGTAGAGTCTCTCTCTGGTATGAACCCTCTGGTGCTCAGTAAGGTGTGAGCTCTGACCAAAGCCTTTGCCACACTGATCACATTTATAAGGTTTCTCCCCAGTATGAGAAATCTGATGTCTAACTAGGTCTGAATTAAACATGAAGCTTTTGCCACAAATATCACAGGGATGGGCCTCCCCTTCTATAAGCTCTCTCTGAAGTATGACAAGGTTGGAGTTCAGAATAGGGTTTCTTCCTGCCCTAACACAAGAGTCAGCTGTCTCTCCTGTCTGGATTTTCCAATGGGTAACTGTCATCTGCTTAAAGCCCCCCTCCTGGGATGGGGGACTCCCCAGGCTTTGCCCCTCAGCATCTCCCAGGAGCTGCCCTAATCTGGGTTCACAGACTTCCCTGGACTCAGGGATGAGGGCCTCCATCACTGTGAGTTTATCTGACATCATCCTGTGTGAATTTTCATCCTCAGAAATCCAGGCTTCAGAGTTACCACCTTCTCAGCAGTTCCTATTAGAATCTGAAACAGAAGAGAACAAGATCATTTCCTGCTTCTATTAACAGAAAGCCATCAGCTGCAGCAGCTGGAGGATAACAAGTGTGGCCAAGAGCTGGGAGAGCAGAATGTTCCCTGTGCCTCGCCCCCTACAGATGGCCCGTGGTGACTGCAGCTCCTCTGACCCCCAGTGAATCCTGGAGGAGCAGCAGGAGGTGGGCACAGGCTGAGACTCCATGTGAAGATCATGAACACATTGATTTCCCAAGAAACACAGATGGACCAGCCCTGCCCCCGCATCTCCTGCATGCCTGTGTGCCCCCAAGCTAAGGTCCATTGGTCTGTAAGGCTGTGGTCATTTTAGATTCCACAGCATAGCTGTCCCCTTGTGCATACCCTAACTGCCCGTTTCTTCCTCTATCACACTGGCATGACAAAACCTGACTGGCTGAGGGAGTTTGTCTCCATCCTGCCCAAGCCCCCGTCCTGCCTACGTTCTTGGACCAACCCCTGCCCAATGGCACTCCGAGACTACTGCAACTTTCTGCACTTCCCCTAGAGACCATCTCCAGTTTTGCACTGTCTCTTTCCTTAAATGTCCAATGCTCCTTCCTCCATCTCAACTTCTTGTTTAAACAAGAAAATGGCAGCAATGAGACAAGAACTTCACTTCCTCCCACACCTACAGCCCACTTGCACCTGCAAACCCCCCAACATGGGTTAAACTGTCCTGGGTCCCATCTGAAGTCAACACCCCACTTGTACACTGTGGGGTACACTGTACCTTCCCCTCTCACCCACCTCAGGACACCAATCAAGTGCTGGCCCTTCTGTTCAATCAGGACCCCCTGATCATGGAACCCACCACCACTGACTTTCCAGCAACCTAAAAAATAAACTCTCTGGACCATGTTCCCCAGCCACACCCCATCACTCCTCTCCTCCATGCCCACCTCTGTTGCCATTAGGGTCTCACAGAGAAGCAGTGTCGCAGAGCATAAACCCGCATATTGAAATTGCATATTTAAATAAAGGGGTTCACAGGTCTCTCAGGCATGTGACAACTTTATTTTTTCCTGGCTTACTACATAGCCAGGGACCACAGCTCTTTCATAGCAAATGGTGAGTTGATTTCTTCACTTTGGGTTTAAATAGTTAGCTGTGTACATGCGCACTGTACCTCATTAATATTCATTACAATCCCTCTGTACATGTGCACTGTACATCAATGACTTCATTAATATTCATTACAATCCATAATCCATCTCATGAATAAACATCTTGTGACTACCTTGTGAGTAGCTCCTCCTTAGTAATCTATGGTTTAACTGATATCACTTTATCTAACATAGTCCTTTTGAACATAATCCCTTTAACATAACTTAATGGAGAACATGTTGTCAGCCATTACTTCTTTGTTCTTATCTGATGAAGCTTGAAGCTTGGAGGAAGAAGGTGGATTGAATACCCGCCCTGCTGGCCTCACAGTTTGGAGGCAGTTACTTCAATTTTAAGCAAGGCATAATTAAGAAATTTCTAAGACATACAGAAAACTTGTTTGTAAGCCTCTGCTCCCATGTGGGCCTTAAGTCAGGGGGGTTTTACGTCCACAACCTACCAGGCCGACCTTAGGTCGGGGGGGTTTATGCCCACAACCAACCTGGCCATATGGGATTCTGCCTCAGTTTCTCACAAGTATGCCTGCACAATGTCTTTTCACTGCTCTCTCTCAAACAGCTTTTTTTGGCCAGAGGTATATAGGCCTTTTGCCTATAACCTCCCTGGGGTGTTGTGCTTCCCTGACCCACTGCCATGGGTATACCCTGCAGCCCACTCTCCCCAAGCCTGGGTAGGAGTGTACCCACCACCTAATCAGCCCTGGCAGCCAGAGACTCTCTCCTTCCTGCTGCTGTTGTCACTTGGCTTCCATGGCAACCTCTCTGGGTCTCTTCCCTTCCCCTGGCAGCTCCCTCCAGGGTCCTCTGCTAGCACCTCATAGTCCCAGTGAGCCCAGGCTGTCCTCAGAAGTGTCATCCACCCAGGTCACTCCACACGCCAGTGCACCCATTTTCAGGATACACCCCTACTGCTACAGACTCCTGTCCCCACTCCACCCAACCTCTTCTTGACTCCCACACTGACCAGCTTGTCACCTGACATGTTCACTCAGAGGCTCTCAGCTTTTCAAATCTGACATGTCCAATGTGACCTCTGATTTTCCCCTTCTACGGTTTTCTCCATCCCCATGAGAGCCCACCCCATCATCCCATCTGCTCTGCCACACACAAGGCAGTAACTCTGGCCTCTCTCCTTCACCCACACCTGCCCATCAGCAGGGCCTGTGCCTACACCCACTTAAACACCACCCTCACTACCATCATTTGTGCACCACACAGGTGATGCAGACTACCTACTTCTCCCTTCCTCCACCTCTTTTCTTCACAGCCAGCAGAACGACCCTTTAAAAGAATAAATAAGGTGTCATTGTTCTATTAATAAACTTACACGGGTCTCCCATCCCCCAAGCAGCCAAAGTCAACTTCCTTTTGACAGCCAGGCTAGAAGGGCCTTTGCACTTCTTTTTTTTTGAGATAGAG